ACCACAACTTAAATTAGTAGGTTGAAACAGCTCGGATTGATAGGTTTGACCAGAACAAACAATATCCCACATGGTATTGTCCTTGAATTATGTGATTAGTAGGCTAATTGTGACGAGGGCCACTACATGTAGCCTTGCAATCCATGTAGAAATTTTACCTTCTCACTAATAACAATGGTCAAATTATTAAAGACATTGTCATCAATAAAGGCGATGTTTGTGACTTGACCACAATAAATTTTGAACATTTAGGGGTGTGCCGCAACTTGAATTAGTAGATCAAATCAGATCGGATAGATAGGTTCGATCGGAATTATGTGATTATCCTTACAATGCATGTAGAAATTTTGAACATGTAAGGGTATATACCACATCAATAAAGACGTTCTCATCAATAAAGAGGATGTTTGTGACTTGACCACAACAAATTTTGAACATATATGGGTATACCACAACTTGAATTAGTAGGTCGAATCGGATCGGATTGATAGGTTTGACCAGATCAAACAGTATCCCACATGTTGTTGTCCTTGAATTATGTGATTAGTAGGCTAATTGTGGTAAGGGCTACTACAAGTAGTCTTGCAATGCATGTAGAAATTTTGTCATCTCACTAATAACAATGGTCAAATTATTGAAGACATTCTCACCAATAAAGACGATGTTTGTAACTTGACCACAACTAAGTTTGAACATATAAGGGTGTGCCACAACTTGAATTAATAGGTTGAATTGGATCGGATTGATAGGTTCGATCGGAACAAATAGTATCCCATATGTTGTTGTCTTTGAATTGTGTGATTAGTAGGCTAATTGTGGTAAGAGCCACTACAAGTAGCCTGCATGTACAAATTTTGTTATCTCACTAATAACAATGGTCAAATTATTGAAGACATTCTCATCAATAAAGACGACATTTGTGATTTCGGCAACAAATTTTGAACAAATAAGGGCATGCCACAACTTGAATTAGTAGATCGAATCGAATCGGATTGATAGGTTCTACCGGACCGAAGCAAACAATATCCCACATGTTATCCTTGAATTGTGTGATTAATAAGCTAATTGTGATGAGAGCCACTTCAAGTAACCTTGCAATGCATGTAGAAATTTTATCATCTCACTAATAACAATACATGTAAAAAATTTGTCATCTTACTAATAACAATGGTCAAATTATTGAAGACATTCTCATTAATAAAGACAATATTTATGACTTGACCACAACCAATTTTGAACATATAAAGAGTATACCATAACTTGAATTAGTAGGTCAAATCGGATTGATAGGTTCGACCAAAACAAACAGTATCTCACATATTGTCATCCTTGAATTATGTGATTAGTAGGCTAATTGTGACGAGGACCACTATAAGTAGCCTTAAAATCCATGTAAAAAATTTGCCATCTCACTAATAACAATGGTCAAATTATTAAAGATATTCTTATCAATAAAGACTTTGTAACTTGACCACAATAATTTTTGAACATATAAATGTATCCCACAACTTGAATTAGTAGATCAAATCAGATCACAACTTGAATTAGTAGATCAAATCAGATTGATAGATTCGACCAGAACAAACAGTATCCCACATGTTGTCATTGAATTGTGTGATTAGTAGGCTAATTGTCGTGACGACCACTACAAGTAGCCTTGCATTGCATGTAAAATTTTATCACTTCACTAATAATAATGATTAAATTATTAAAGATATTCTCATCAATAAAGACAAGAGGATGTTTGTGACTTGACAAATTTTGAACATATAAGGGTGTGCTAAAACTATCTCAACTCAAACACCAAATCTGATATGTAATTGTCCATCCCACAAAGATCAGCCAAAGAAAGGCAAGGCAAAGAGGGAATGTGTGAAGCATTTGCTCCATCATCATCATGAGGAAAAAAGGACAATAAAGCGGGAACATTACTAGATAAACACTACAATCCATATACAATAACAGATGCGAGATCTGAAGTGTAGAGAAAATGACAAACAAAAATACGATTTTTGTGGGTGAGACAATACACGAATACCTTTCAGAGAAATTGCCGACAACAGTCTCATGGTAGCCTTGAGCTATGGCTTGCCTCCCAAGCAGTTTCTTCAGTTCTTTTTTTGTATTTACTAGAATAATCTACCAACAAGCATTGGGTAAATTACAGACAATTGTATCAGATGAAAAAAAACCTTTAAAAATACAAGCTTTCAATTTTGGAAAGCTCGATAAGTCTCTTGTAGAAGTGACAACAAAAACTAAGGGCCATAAAAGCTTGCGCTTCCATTAGAACCACAACATACAAAAGGTCGAGTTTACCCAAGCCTCACAAAACATGTATACGACTATTAAAATCCTCAGCCTCAAGCAGGATTTTTCTTCAGCCATATTGCATCACATGCTTTCTTTTTCACACAAATCTAGAAGCTGAAGAGTCTGACCACCACAAAAAATGAGTAGCAGAGAATCAGTACATGTGCTATGTAAATGCCTAGTGGAATGAGTATGCTACAGAATTTGCCATTAGTTCATCATGGATTTAGTGAAAGAAGAGAGAAAATAGAAAAGGAATTGAACAAGGTCTGCATGACTAAGATTGACCTAGCGCCCATAGTCGAAATCAATTAGATTGGAAGATCAGAATCGAACAAAAAGGCAATTTTGGATTCAAAAATTAATAAACATTTTGAAAATCTTTTTTTTTTTAAGTATGAATAATGACTTCATTTTTTAGATACATATCATGTGAAATGTTATCATGAGGTTCTCAATTTAAATCAGTGATAATCACTTAATATCTGATAAGGTCACAGTTGTGAACTGATGACTGGGAGACAGACCTCTGCCTCTCCAGCCCTCTGTCTTTCCAACTCACTGCAGCTCTTGAAATATTATGAATGCCTTCAAATGATAATACCAGAACCTCTTTTTATCTTCATTTATTTGCTTCGTGACTTATTTTCAAGGTTAAAGTCAATGATAGAAGGCAAATCAAAATAATTTCTCCAGGCTAATTTCTAGACAAATCGAATTTCCAAAGGAGAAGCTAGTTAACACACTCTTGGGTACCAATAAAGAACTCAGTGCACCATAAGATTTGGGGGTAGAAGTGGAATCTAAAGCTTAAACAATTAGGCGGCAATTTAAAAATGAACTTGATTGATGATTGATAATAAAGCAACCGCAGAGAGGCAAACAAAAAATTTGATTGTATGTTCCAGGCCTTGTATTTAAGTATATGCAATGAGTTCTAGGATCTAATGGAGA